CTAAATATTACTGCGCATAATTAAGATTTATATTCAGTAATTACACAAAAAAAAACCTTCTACAATATATATTCAGTTATAAAACTTGTATTTTATAATAGATATTATTACTACCTAGTATTTACATAAAAAGTCAATTAAATTAAACAATTTTCAGGCAATTCATTTTTTTGCGGGTTTGTGACATTCACATAAAAAACAAAAATTTTTGCTACAATATTGAGTACAACCAAAGACTTTTGCACGCTAGTGTATATATATATATATATATATATATATATATATATATATATATATATATATATATATATATATATATATATATATATATATATGTATATGTATATATGTATATGTATATGTATATATATATGTATATGTATATATATATATATATATATATATATATATATATATATATATATATATATATATATATATATATATATATATATATATATATATATATATATATATATATATATATATATATATATATATATATATATCAGCCCTTGGAATTAGGGTCGGCATTCGGCAATGCCGACCTAACTGCCGAGCTTAAAGTATTTAAGGTTGGCAAAAAATTGCAGACCTTGTTTCTATGTTTTATGGTAAAACCTTTTTATTAACATTTTTTTGCCAACTTGGCGCTGACCTCTAAAAGATTGAGATTGACAATTTATTGCCAACCTCATTTTTCCTAATATCAATGAAGTTTTTATCAAAGTAACTGGTTTAATATATATATATATATATATATATATATATATATATATATATATATATATATATATATATATATTTATATATATACAGGCTTCGGCAGGAATGACGGGCTATAGCCCGTGTCCGTCTCCGCACCCGTCTAAGTCAGTTTAGACGGGCGAAATAAAGCCTGTCTGAAACATAAGTTTTGTGTAAAAAAAAAGATGAATATTTTGATGTTTTTTTATTAAGATACTCTTATAAAACTTCTCTCATGACATAATTTTAATATGGATAGCAAACTCCAACTTATAATTGTTTATATTTAAATATAAAAATTAAACAAAATAATCATTATTGTATTACATTATGTAGGAAATAATATAACTAAATCTTTTAGTTTTTTAAACGACGATAACTGTTTGATATAATACCAAACAGTTACCATATTATGTTCAAAATTTAATAACTATTATATTAAATAGGGAAATATACACATGTGATGCACAAGAAGTATCATGTTGTTTTGGTTTTTCAATGTTTATAATAATAACGATAATAAACTAATTATCCATGTATTTCGCTTTTTTCCGATAAACTAGTTTGTCTTACTTTAAAGACATTTAAAGTGATATTTCCGCGTTAACTTCCGCGTTAACTTTACGTTTTTTCTTAAAGAGACGGCAGTTTATTTAATATGCAATTATATAACTCGTTATTGAAAATGAAATATCTCATTAAAAATCAACAAACGTCTAATCAATTTTTGTAGATAATATAAATAGTGTTGCTTTATAGTTATGAAGTTATTCAAGTTATCTAGTCATTCAAGTTTTTCAAGTTATTCAAGCTTTTCAGTAAAGATAGTAATGGCATCATCTGTTAGAAGAGTTACATTAGCAACATTTTTGAGTTGGGGTAAAGATGGAGTCTGTGGAAAAGAAACTGAGGTGGAGAATGGAACAATTTTTGTTGTGAAGATATGGTGTATGGTTTGTATAAAATATAAAAAAGAATTGCTTCGCGAGTTAAAAGGTCTGGCAAAATCAAAAGCATTAGCATTTATAGAGGGCACTACGAACGTTAAAGCTAGCAACATACATGCGCTTATATACATGCTTATATTGTATATAAAGTAACGGAAGCCCCAATATCTTAAGAAATTATTAGTACTTCTAAATAAAAACTTATTTTATTAAAAGAAATTAGATTTCAAATTTTTTATTCACGTATCAGAATAACTATTTCCGATCAGGATAGGCATAGTTAAATCAAAGTTATAAAAATATAAATAACAGTTTAAGTTTTTAATTTGCACGCCCAATAGAATGCAAGAGTATATAAATAATTGAATTTGAAAAATAACATAGTTACGTATCATATTACCAAGCTAATACCAAACAATTCTAAAACTATCGAGCTCATTGATTCAAGGTTAAAAAAAAAAAAAGATTTCAAACTATTTGCTGAATAATTAAAAAAATTAGATTTTGAAAATATTATGTAATATTTTTATTCACAAAGAATAAGAGAAACGAATGAACTAAAAAAGCACGATAAAAACCTGTATAATTTAATCGAATACTTGAATAAAACAATAATATATAAATATACTCAAAAAGACTTTGGTAAAAAAACACGTTAGGATGTTTGAATAAGGAAACGTGATGAAACGCCATATTAGTTTCGAGGATTTTTCCCGTCGTTTTCACGTTCATTCGTTTGACTATATCTGCCAGATATTATCTGGAATAAAGATTAAAAAAAACAAACATAAAAAACTGAATAAAGT